AAAAAAAAAAAAAAAAAAAAAAAAAAAAAAAAAAAAAAAATCAAAAAAATTTGAAAAACAGATATGTCATGAAGAAAAATAAATTAAACAAGATTTGCCTGAACATTACATCCAAATTCCTCACCAAATGTGAAATAAAAATAAAATACAGAGAAAAAATACTAATAATAAAAAAAAATAATAAAAAAAATAATAAAAAAAAAGAATTAAATTTACTGAGTGCGCGACCACTTTTACGACATCGCCATCTTTGGCAATTTTTCATTTTTTCTTGGCATAGCTAAATGCCCTGAAAATTTACAGATGTGTACTTCATTCACATCATGCAAAACCCACTAAAAAATTTTCAAAAAATAAATAAAATTGTTAAGACCCCGAACTAAAGTGAAAACAAAAAGTAAAAAGTGAAAGAAAAACGTGGGCGAGCACGTTTTGACACCGCCATCTTTGTCAATTTTTAATTCCTATTTGGCTGAGCCAAATGACTTGACAATTAATAGGCAGGTACCCCACGTCATAGAGAACTCACAAAAACAAATTCATAAAAAAAAACTTATTTTTAGGCCCCGAAATAATTTTTGGCGGGGGCCGAATGCCGCCGGGTTCGGACCCCGTACGGGACCCCGAACGCCCGTACGTACGGAGGTCGGCCCGGGGACCTCCGTACATACCGGCTGGTGACCCTGTATATATCGTCACAAATAGAACTGTCCGGTAAACCGTAGGCAGAGAGAGAGAAGAGGACAACAAACGAGGGGCTGTGACAAACTGTTTCGTCGGAGTTTCACCGACTCATATATATAGATATACATATAGATATAGATATAGTCAGAAAATTATCAGAGCCCAAAAGGGAAAAAACAAAAGGAAACAAAAAAGATATCAATTCACTTTTATCTTCTTACTTACTTTTTTTTTTTTTTTTTTAGTCAACGAAAATTATCTTCTTCCTTACAACTCCCCCTGTTCAGAACCTCTTGCGTACAAGGCCGCCCACGTGGATGTAGGCTTACACAATCCAAAGAAACTTTTTTGGGTAATTCAATACACACTTCACACTTCCATTCCTTCAGATTTTAGATTTCCAGTGGCCCAATGGGTGCACATTTAGGAGTCCAAGGTCTGTTCCAAACCACAACGCCCTCCCTTGTGCGAACCTTCAAGGTGGATCCCGACTGTCAGGATCATGGCCGACCATTACACTGGCTTTCGCCCATGATGTCCGTCATACATACGTTGCGCTCTCAGACCAAACACCTCTCCTCTCCTTCTCTCCGG